TTTAGAACATTACTTTTGATGTTTTCGGAATTAATTTCTGAATGCTCAGTTTCTGTGGTACTCAACAGACACACATTGGCATTATCTAAGTAATGAAAATCTATTAATTTTTTCCCCTGAATTTTTTTTCCTCACCGAAAACTTCCAAATCAACACAATACAACCACAACAACATCACAACGCATATTTAGTCATGATGTAAGAAGATCGAAGAAATCTTGAGAATTCAAATTTGTGATGTAAAATCCTTCAATTGGAGCAACAGATGATCGACGCCTGATGGAGACTTGGAGACAGAACTGAATAAGTGGTTGAACCGATAGATAGAAGTGATGACTTGAATAATAACAAGATATTCGTATATAATAGCACCAAATCCTTCGAATTCCTTGAAATATTCTCAAAATATCATCTGTAAAATGTCGTAAGGAAAATTTGTCATTTCTCTCCAACTGTAATACATCAACGAATATTCATTTATAGCCGTACTCATCATCACAATCCTAATAAGACATCACCAACAGAAACATAAACAATGGAGCAATTAACTGAATGCATGAAACGGATCAATCAATTAGTCAAACGAATGAAATGGTTCGACAAACCCTTTGAGGATTGCCCCAATCGCCCAGCTCTACCAACCATCTGTCGATACGTGGTATTGGTGAGGGCTGAGGGTCCCGACATTTGAGCTTTGATAAGAACCGTCTGGGCCGGTAAGTTTACACCGGAACTTAGTGTTGATGTAGCAGTCAAAACTCTCAGCTGACCTCCACGAAAACCATCCTCTATTGCCTCTCGCTCTTCCATTGTTAATCCTTAAGATATTGAATGAACCCTGAATGAAGCAATTGGAATTATCAATCAAGAGTGGGCTAAGGCGTAATGTAGTTCCGCATGATCATGATAAATTCTGAATTCTTGATATGCGCGAAAAAGTTGGAATATGATTTGGTAGGACCTATCATCATCACGAGCCTAAACAGCCCATAACCATCGCGAGACCTGTCGAAACTATGCCTCAAACCCACAAAATCATCAATCACATCGAATTATGCGCTGTGCTACTAATTATTCATGTAAATTACTATTGAATGTCGATATGAATGA